AATCCCTTTCCCGACAGGCCTTCTGTGATGCCACGCAGGCCTGTCGGGGATGAATTTGTTTTCACTGTGGGTACTCGTTACTTACGCAATTGTATCAATCATATCCAATCCCATCTCCACACAGCAATGGGCATGGTCTGCCTTGGGTTGTGTAAGTCCTGACACACAATAGTAACAGTCCCCCAATATTTTTATGCGTCTGCAGTGATTCTCCTGCAAAGACATGAAGAAGAGTACAATTGAAGACTTAAAACATGAAGCACTTAGTTCAGTTCTTTGGAGAGACCGATTTATCCAAATTTTAAAACATGCAATATCCTTTAAATTGAAGTGGCTTCATAACCAATGAAGAACTTGTTTTTCATGATTGGCATGATGTCAATGAGCAAAATTGCTGCGGAGCAAACATTTGGCAATTGCAAAATTATTGCCATTTATACAAATAAGAATTCACAACTTTTAGATGAAGGTGCTTACATGTGTTGTGCACACATCTAAGTCAAATAATGATGTAATTAGCAGGACATTGCAGAACTTGACAGTACACCAAATGGCGTCAATATTTTCAATATTTTAGATTGGTGAATATTTAGCCACAGCCATACTAAGTCACAGACCTTTCAACTTCCAACTAAGGTTGGACGTAGCTTAATATTCAAGCATCATTACCAAATGAAAACAGAATGACAATGACAACTAAACCACATCAGCTGAAAAAATATTTTTTCACACTCATAAATACCGTTTTTTAATATTTTCTGTGCCATTATCATTTCTTTTATATATTTTGAATTCTGAAAAAAATATTTTAAAACCCCTAATTTTTTCAATAAGTCCCAGTTCCAACTTTAAGAACCAAGAACTAGATCAGAAATTTTATATCAATACATGTTGTTTCATCCCAACAACTCAATAGTTCATTGACTCACATCAAAAAATTTACATTTCAAGATTGCTTCTCTGAGTTCAGTTGAAAACAAGGAAGAGGCAACTTAAAAAAAAAAAAAAACACTGGACAAAATTAAAATGCTTCTACATTTGTCAGCTAAATCTTCAACATCAACGAACATCAACTCCTTCCACCTGACACATGACTGACGCAGTCTACAAGCTGCAGCTGCGCCCCTGATCATGTAAATCAGAAACGGTGGTTGTGAAACAATTTGTGTGTTTGTTGTTGGGGCCAACTCTAATTGCTCCGACATGCTCTTGAAGTAGAATCCCGCCCACACGTTCCCCCGACAGATCTTTCTATTTGTCACAGAGCACATTGAGCACAGAGCTGTTGAAGTCAGAACACGTACAAAAATAAACTCACACCTTAGCAGCACATTACCAGTCAAGAAAACACAAACAGCCGCATTCTTACATGCGAACACCCTGTACTACACTGTACTTCAATTTGGTTTCATGCACAGGGTTCCCTGTCTCACTCGGTTATCAGACATAATGATGGCAAACCCTACAAAGCTTCCCCTGCAGGCAGCCTGTGAGTGACAAACACACATACGTGCACGCAAACACCCACGTGCACACAGATATAGGGAGGATTCATGGCGACTGCAGGGTGAGAGGCAGAGATGAGAAGAGAGAAGATGGGGTGCTCTGGTTTTCTGCTCACGGGAGCAGAAAGATTTTGGTGTGGGAGGATATGAGAATTCGGAATGTGGATGATTATCCCTGCCCAAGGATCAGAAAAGTGTGTTTGTGTGTGCGTATTTGTGCATCTGCATGAGAGGAAACGAGAGAGAAGTCGTCAACTGACAAAAAGATACGTCTCAGGAGAACAGGAGCATTGTTTGGTTTCCGGGAAAAAAATTTATAAAAAAAAAAAAAAAAACATTGAGAGTTTAAACCTGCTGACTTAGAGGCCAGGGTGATGCATGCCTGCCTTCAACCGTCACCTGGTTGAAGGTTTTGTTTAGGTTTGTATCCATGGTGGTTAAGTTTCGTTTAAACCCTGTGGGAACAAATGTGTCGTGTAGCGTACAACAGTCAAGCTCAGCAGCTGTGACAGAGCTGGTTTCAAAGCAAATTTCTCTCTGGCTAACATGACAGGGTATAAATCTCAATTAGGATGCAGCTGCTGCACACATGCATGCAATATATCCTCATCACAAGATGTGCATAATGTGAGTTTGCAGAGCATTAGTTCAGTGCTAGTGAGTCACATATCACCTTATATCTTGCTCTCTCTGCCCCTTCAGTCAGTCTCCCTACGTTAAGCCCTGACTGATTGCGGCAATGGAGAATTAACTCAACGGGGATTATCCTGCAGATCATGTGACTTTGCCCGTGTGCATGTGCATGGTTGTTATAAAATACGAGTAAAATCATCTGATGAGATCTTCTGGCCTTGAGGCAGGAGAGGTTAGGAGAAAGTTCTCAGTGAGAATTTATTCTTATGATTTGTCTGGACCTATATAAAAACAGCATTATATCTGCACAGCACAATTAAAATAAATAATTATGCCAAGCAGTGATGGGTCAACCAGTAAATTATATGGACAGGAGCCAGCTGAGGTGACATCTGGCTAGCATGACTCCTGGATGCTTCTCTGGTGAAGTGTTTCAACCATGTCCCACTGGGTGGAGACCTAGAGGAAAACAAAGTATACACTGAAGTACTGTTCTTCTCAGCTGACCTGGGAATGCCTTGGGATTCCTCCGAAAGGAGCTGGCCCAAGAGACTGGAGAGAGGAAAGTCTGAAGTAAGCAGAAGAGGGAGGGAGGATGGACGGACGGACGTAAGATTTTTTTTTTTTTTCCCCAACTACTCATTTTCATTCAGAACTTTTGTTTATATCAACATGTGGCACTGCAAATGAATGAAATAGACAAATAAAGAGGAAATGGAGTCAAACAGAAATGCTTGCCTGAAAGAATTTAAGTGTGGTTTTAAATAATGGAAATGACATTTGGTAGAGAGCCAAGTGGAGAGAGTGGAAAGTCGTGCATCTTAAGGCTTTCAAGCTTGTTTTTGTTCTTATATATCACTCAGTGTAAAGCTGTGATCTTCCTCGAGCGTAGGCATTTTCTCAACCAAGTTCAATCGTCCTTATAAACGGAGGAGGCTTTTCATTTCACTGCCACTTCAGATGCACGGCTTTTAATGAAGTTCTCCTATTAAAAAGTGAACATCACGACAGAGAAAATATCCTTCTGTTCAACAAGTAGTAGCAGAATAGACCTCCTGTTTAGCAAGTTACAGACTTTACTGCTTATAGCAACAAGATGAGCATTGCGCACACATAATGAAGCAGCTCGCACAAAACTAAAGCTTTTGAGGTTATTTGATCAATCTGGACTATGTTAGTTAATACAGGTCACAAAATCATGATTGTTTTTCTTTTGCACCACTTTTTGAGTTTTAATCACGGTTTTATGAAAATGTATTCTGTGTAGGCTCACATAGTTCACAGAGTCACAAGAATCTTGGCCAGTCAAAGAGTGACTCACGGGATCTTCTTAGACTGTTCCAGAAGATAGGGTTTAATACAGACCTCACAGCAACACATTTCCTTATGAAGACAGAAGCAAACCCACAGAAAAATGTGTTTCGCATCAATTTATAAAAGAATAATGTGAACACTTGCTTTAGGATAGCAGTAACTTGTAAAGGACTGGCAACCTGTCTAGAGAGTTATCCGCCTCCTGCCGTATCACAGCAGGGATACCCTCCTCCCTGCAGCTACAACCAAGACAAGACTTCTTCAGAAAATATGTGGATAGATGGAAACAACGAAGGCGATGTTGTGAGGTTTTAATTTATGTAAGTCGATGATGTCCTCTGAGGTGACCGAAATGGGAACGTGTGTGGCTGTGTGTGGCTCATGCAGTTTTAATATGATTATAGCGGTCTGCCGGCAGATAACCTATCTCTCACCTAATCTCCTTTCCTGGAGAACAACACTGCATTGGCTTACTGGTGCACAGTGTGTGCTTCTGTGCACGTTAACAGTAGTCTCGGTTGGGCCGCGTCTCACACACACACACATGTTCACGCACTCGCACTTAAACAATCGTCCTTTTCAGCCCTCATCTCTCCTCTGTGAAAATCAGCCTTCTCATCTCCACTTCTTGACCTTCTTCAACTCCTCTTCCTCCTCCTCAGTGTCAGTCAGTATCTCCATCCTCACTTTCACAATTTGGATCAATACATACATATATGGCTTGGTATAATAAATGAGTTCCAGGACTCAATAATACATTCAGTTTTCTTGGAGACGAACAGCTCACTGAAACACAAATTCACTAGCTGCCTCCACGGCTGTGGGCTGAGCAGGGTGGCTCAGTGACATTACTTCGTAACAAAAGTTATAGAAGAAAGTTTTCAATATTTATTGTCAGCTAAAGTGCACAAATAACACTGCAAAAAATCTGCACCCTGAGCACAGACAGTACAAATAAACTTCAGCTCTTGCAACAGCCCCAGAATTACCTGAATAAAATAAAATAAAATAGAAAGAATTGTTTGGATTTGGAATGTGTGGACAGTTTTAAGCTACATTCGTATCATCAGCAGACAAAATCAATATGAAAAGCTCTTTAGAAAGCAATGGTAGAACTATGCACATTTCAGATATGTCCCAATATCATATTACATTTGTTTAACTAATTGGAAAAGAAACTACTAAAACAGACCAAAGAGTAGCAGATAGTACAGAAAGTCCTGGTGGGTTGCCAAAAACTTGGTTCTACCCAAGTAAGTTGGGTAGAACACAACAGTTTTCAAAGTTGCTGAGTTTTCAAAAAAATTTAAAGGGTTTATGAAAAGTGTTAACATTAACAACTTCTTGCATTTTGTCAGATTACAAAAGCAAAGCTTAATGATGGAAAAATGTCAGTTTTTAACATTTCTTTACAGACAAAGATCTGAAAAACGATGTTTATGTGGTCTTGTCTTAGAACTGATAATAAAGGTTCCTGGTGATTTTCTTATGGAACTGGTAACGGAGGTTTCAGAGGAGATGTTTTTCTTCTCCTTTCACAGAAACTCCTTTGAACCGGATTTGATTTAGGGACAGAGGAAGAAATTAACCAGAGATGGGTTAATAACTCCCTACAGGATTAAGGTGAAAGGCTCTGTGTACCTGACTGAAAAGACATAAAAGAAGAATTATTTGTGTTAAGTTTCATTTCTTCTTCCTTCTTCTACCTCTTTCTAGCCTGATCTCTGATTTTTCAAAATAAAATATCTAAAGACAAATGTGCATTTCTCTAGACTCAGTGTTTCACTAATTAGAAAAGAATATTTGGTAACACTTTATTTGAAGGGGGGTGAATAAGACTGACGCAACACCTGTCATGAACATGAATAAGCCTTCATGAATATTTATGACTGTTGTCATAAAGCGTCATTCGGTAAATTATGACACTTTTAATACAAAGTTGACATTATTCAAAATGTCTTTGTTATGACAACTTGACATTAACCAAGAAATCATTACTGATATAAATTTGTTATAAAAGTATTAATGATTGCACTTTAAAAATGAGGTAACTTTATGTTATTAAAGGTAAAGTGTAAACAGTAATGAGTTCTTGGTTAATGTTAAGTTGTCATAACAAAGGCATTTTGAATAATGTTAACTTTGTATTAAAAGTGTCATAATTTACCGAATGATGCTTTATGACAACAGTCATTAATATTCATGAAGACTTATTCATGTTCATGACAGGTGTTATGTCATGTTTATGACAGTGTCATGACAGTCTTATTCACCCCCCTTCAAATAAAATGTTACCGAATATTTAATTATAGTCTCAACCCATTGAAATCCATTCAAGCCACAAGTTTCAAAAGTTTCCTGTTTGCAGTCTGTATAAATACAGTTGTTCTGTGAAGGAGAGGACAGAGAACATCGACCATTTTTTGACTAAAATGTTAGAGAAACTTGTTCTGGATCACTTAAGCTCATTTAACCTTGCATCATTCCAAAACAATACAAACACACAAAAAAAAAACTCTCTGGGATAAGAGCTCATCATATCACAGAAAATCCATGTGTAATAAAGATTACACATGCTTTTGGACTCATCAGATTAAACAGAAGTTTAGCGGTTCTTTTGATTCTTTTAACCACAGCACCCTATAAGACATACTCAGATATTGAATATCCTGGAATTGTCAGCTATTTTTTTTTCAACAATAGAAAATAATAAGGGAAATTGTTCAACTGATTTGTGAAAGGATTTTCATATCAAACATTTTTACATTTTCATCAGGTTGACAAAAAGTTGACTGGGACTCTTATAGCTCCAGCTGTTCCATCACTTGTTTAAATTTCTTTATGTTCTCATTGTCATTTGGAGCCAGATGGGATAATCAAGGAAACTTACCGTTGCCAGTTCATCAAACTTCCCAAAGAGTTCATTCAGCAGCTTGACCAGTTCCTGAGCAGTGCACTGAGAAGCTAAGCTGGTGAATCCCACAATGTCTGCGAACAGGATGCTGGAGGAAAGAACAAGACGACATTTTAATCTGCATTTTATTCCTCCCTAGACTAACTAAAGTACTTGCTGTTTTAATACAAAAAATGTCAAAAGAGAATGTGGATAGAGCATTGTGCTACTGTGCTGTGTTTTCCATGCTTGCAGCTAAACACACAGATCACTTTAAAGCAAGAGTAATTGGCTAACAGTGATCAGCAATGAAGCAAACAGCAAGTACTATAATCCAATCCCTGATAAGTGAAGGCGTCTTTTAGGCCAGCCGCTAAATCAATTACAGAGCTGAATTGCCTGCTGCTGGCTAACTGAAGTAGTGCATGAAGTAGGTGTTGAAAACCACTTAGCCCCTCATTCATTTGCTCAGAGGCAGCCCAGATGGCAGCAAAACAAGGTGTTATGTATCTTATTGACTCGGTGGAAACTCACTGCTCTCAGTGGAGCATGCATCAAAGCTTGAGTGGGATTTAGCTTAATCATGATAATTGACTCTCGAGTTCTGAGACACCTCATCCAGAAAAAAATACAGGAAAGTACTCCGCATCATCCGCGTAAGGTCGACATGCTGGCTCGGCTCTGAAGCGGGCGCATTTCATATTTCCTTTGTGTTCTTTATGCGGAACAGATTTCAGGTGGTGGAGCAAATTTGGGGTCCTGGTGCCTATTTGGACACTAGTGTCAGCTGCATAATTGTAGATGACTAACATTTTTATCAATGTGTACATTTTTATGAAGTAACCTATTAGAAACAAAAAGCACTGAAAAGTGTCAATGCTCAATGGTATAGTTCTGTGTTTTGTAATAAATAATTTCAACCAAGTTCTGGTTTTGTTGCACATGTGATAATCTACTCTGTTCACCGCATGTGTAGACTAAGGAGTAGGGTTTGGTTAAAACCTTGCAGAAGAGTATGCTCTGGATTATATCATATTGATTCATAAAAATCCTGCTTTTTATGATCCATTGTTGAAGCCCCACTATTGTTAGGGTTGTTAATAGGATGTTTTTTTATAAACTTTCTCGTCCAAACACAACAGAATCATAGTGAAGCACGATTTCAGATCCATCCAGATAAATGGTGCCAAACTCTTAATTCTTCCTCAGAGATTACAGTTATTGCTCCATTTTCATGTAGAAGACTTCCCCCCCCCCCTTCCTGCATCGTGACTATGTCAACCAAGCTCTTTTTTCTGCTTGGTGCAGTTGCTCTGGAGTCTGATGTATGCAAAGCTGGGATCACGACCGTCGCTCAGCTGAAGAGCTCTGTTGTATAATATTTCAGTGAATGGTTCCGTGCTACAGGTCATATTGATGTGTGGATGGTGAGACGAGAGCAGCAGGGTTGGCCAAGTGCATGTGTGATTAAATGTTCTCAGGGAAACATCAAAGGGACCCTGATCGTGGGTGCAACCCCCCGCACAGCTACATAAAGAATATTTTTCCTACTTTTTTTTTTTTTTTCCTAAGCCCTGTTCTGATGCGTGTGCTTGCAGCAGAGCCCCAGAGGCGAGCAGGAGCTGGCTTGCTGGAAGAAATAACGGGGTATTTGGCGGCGTGCCAGTGTGGTGGCGAGGCTCCTTGCTCCCATGTTGTGATCGCAGAGGAGATGTGCACTCAGAGCTAAAATGATACAGGCAGACAGACAAGAGTTGAGGACTCCCTCTTGACAGAAGTGCTGTTGATGTGCTACCTAACACTCGACTCCTACACTAAGCAGCACTAATGCACCTCTCCTTTTCTCTTTACCGCCTCACTGGAATGAAATCAGCTCAGAGTTGGGTCAGGTTCTCACACTCTATGTCAACTGTGAAGTAGAGGGAGCACTAAAAAAAAGCTAATTAAAAATGCAGGGAAAGACCAGTATTTATTGTATGCCTCAGGTAATGCTCCTTTTACGTTCTCTGGTCATTTGCTCAATTATGATAGACAGGCGGTTAAAATAAAGTCGACTGTTTGCACAAATTTAGCTTTTTTGGACATTTTCCTGTCAAAACCCTTAAAGACAACAATGAAATAAGAAAATCTGATCCATCCTTCCGTCCGTCCATCCGTCCATCAATCCATACACCCATACATTCAAACATAATTTAACCTAGGGCTGTGTAATAATATCGATATTGCGATATATATCGATATTTTCTTTCCTAGAAAAAAAACGATATTCATCCGCAAGTATCGTAACATCCAACTGTCACCTTGCTCACTCACTGCTTGCTTTACCAGGAGAGTGATTAGGTCATCAGGCTTAGAGTGATTTGATTCCTTCAGATGTTAAGTGTCGAGGTTAAAAAGGTATCAAACTATTCAGAGCAGGTACTTGGTGCACTTTATTTACTTTACAAATGCATGTAAGCTAGTTTGTACTGTTTCAATTAAAAGAAACATGTTTTCTCACCACTTCTTTGTTTCATTTTATCCAGCTGTTGACTTTAAGTCTGTGTCCATGTCCAACCAGAGCCAGGTATCGTGTAGTTGGTGCTTTTAAACAGCTTTCAGTTAAATTAATTCAATCCAACTCTATAACAGTCTCAAAATGTCACCAAAAACACACTGTCCCTCTAAAATCTTTCAGAAAATCGCAAAAGTGTATTGAATTGTATCGATTGCTGAATATTGTAATATATATCGTATCGTGGGCAGAATATTGTGTATCGTATTGTAACATATAGTGAGATTATTGTATCACTACAGCCCTAATTTAACCTATATTTTTTTTGCAGGTTTCTTTTTGAAACCATAAATTATGTACCATGAATTAAGTGAACCTTTTGATTTTTTCAGGGTTTTTATTATATTGTTCCAGTTTAATGTTACTTAATCAATATACAGAAAAGCTCAAGTAAATTGTTAAAATCCCAGAATTATGATAACTTTCATGCCTCAGAAGAGAGGATGTCAGATTCTGACTCAAATGTTACGTGCTAATGCTTCAAAATGATGAAGTTTAAGCATATTTCTAAAAGCCGCCATAGTTTAATAACGGTCCTTCAATCTTTAAAGACAATTGTTTTGTTCCCTTTGAGGGAAAACATAAACTTCTTTCTCTGCAGCTCATGTTTTTTTTTTTTTGGTAACTGAACACATAGTCTGTTATTCTCTAACTTTTTTTGCTCTGGTTCTGAACTCAGCCCCCTCAGGGGAAACATCTGCTTATATCTTTACCAGTTAGTCTCTAACTGTTTCTGCCTGCTGGTGGTTGCTTAGCTCAATGATTCTTACATTGCAGTGAAATGTACAAAAAAATCAGCTTTGGCATTATGTTTGACAGCCAGGAAGATGAAGCAGAAACTGAAACAGGAAGAACTGTCAAAAATTTCAAATTTAAGAGACATGACTACTCTTCTTAACAACTGTTGTTAAGTAAATCTATGTGAATGCTTGGTCTGATTTCCTCTCTGATTGGTAAACCGCAATGTCACACCTGCAATGGAAACACTCTCTATGCATACCTCCTGAGTTGTCATGACATCCCCATACCTGACATTGTCATGGCGCTGGATGTAGATCTTGTGAAAAATTCTCTCTGGTGGCTTCAGGAAGTCCTCCTTCATCTCCATGGCAACATTTCTGGGCAGCAGGCTCATTAGTAGACGCTCCTGAGGAGGGAGGAGGCAAAGGCAGAAAGAAGGCAGTGTTAGGACTTCTAACTGGATTAAACAAAGTCACCAAGAGTTGTCTCTTTCTCGCTGAAGATGTGAAAATTTTATTTTTAGAAATGTAGAGAAAAAAAATTGTTAAACACTGAACTCTTGAGGAATAGTTTCAGTATATTTGCCTTATACAATGTAATCCCCATCTGTGACTTTTTTTTCTTTTTTTTTGGCAGTGAATTAACTTAAAAATTTTGATTAAGAAACTTCATGGTTTTTTTTTCTAAATATGCATTATCTATATAAAATTACTACATAACTTAGCTGGGACATATTTTTCTATAAAAATAACGATGAAACAATTTATTCTGTTTGTTTAAACAGAATAAATGAAATAGAAAATAAAAATAGATAAATATATATGAGTAAAATAATCACAAATTCTGCAAATGGTAAGAAGTCTAAAACCATGCCCTGAAGGCAGACAACTAAATAAGGTATAACACAAAACAAGATCAAGATATGTCATAGGGCAACTAATAATGTACTTAAGAGACAGTGAGCAGTGAAAGCAGTTGTGGCATTTGGGAACTGCAGCAGGAGATCCATCCATCCATCCATTTTCTTTACAACCTTGTCCCTTGGTGGGGTCGGAGGGGTTGCTGGTGCCCATCTCCAGCTAACGTTCCGGGCGAGAGGCGGGGTACACCCTGGACAGGTCGCCAGTCTGTCGCAGGGTAACACAGAGACAAACAACCATGCATACACACACTCACACCTAGGGGCAATTTGGAGAGGCCAATTAACCTGACATGTTTTTGGACTGTGGGAGGGAGCTGGAGTACCCGGCGAGAACCCACGCATGCACAGGGACAACATGCAAACTCCATGGAGAAAGACCGGGGGCGGGCATCGAACCCAGAACCTTCTTGCTGCAAGGCAACAGCTCTACCAACTGCGCCACTGTGCAGGCAAAATGAATACCTGTGTTTTTATATTTTATATTATTTTTATTATTTTT